ACTGTAAAATCTCCATTCCTTTCCCACTCCCAGGGAAGGATACTGCAAAATCTCCATTCCCTTTCCACGCCAGGGGAAGGATACTGTAAAATCTCCATTCCTTTCCCACTCCCAGGGAAGGATACTGCAAAATCTCCATTCCCTTTCCACGCCAGGGGAAGGATACTGTAAAATCTCCATTCCTTTCCCACTCCCAGGGAAGGATACTGCAAAATCTCCATTCCCTTTCCACGCCAGGGGAAGGATACTATAAATTCTCCATTCCCTTCCCACTCCAGAGGAAGGATACTGCAAAATCCCCATTCCGTCCCAATCAGCTGGGACTCGGGAGGCAGAGAATAGACGAGGGTGGGGCCAGTCAGACGTGGTATTTACTGTTTCTCCAAATTACTCAAAATTTCTGCTACTGTTTCTCCAGACCTGGTCAGAACCTGCTAAATACTACCTCTGGAACAGAAGTAGAGATGTCCTTTTATCCTCCTTTTGCAAAGAGGACATCTTCTGAAATACTCCTTTATTGTTTGCATTTACATTTCTGGTTATTATTATTATTATTTGCATGGTTTTGCATTGAAGTAACTTGTGGTCATGGGTGTGAGCTGGGCAGCCATACCAATTTAACAAATAAAGACATGAATAAAGAAATAAAATTGTTCTCTTTTCTGAAGGTTCAAGGATGGGACCTTCTATTTTAATTCAAGATTCCTACCCACCCCAATTGAAAGGGGCCCTCAAATACATCGGGTTACAATTCTAGCCTTGTTCAGTTAGCCTTTATAGATTGGTTAACTCTGTGGGAGACTGTGACTCCTGAAAGGCCCCCAGTTGAAAAATTAATGTAGTTTAATGTCGAGAAGGTCCTTAGTGTGAGACGTGAAATATTACTGCTTTCTACTAAGTGTCTAAAAATAACTTGCGGCCAGAACATGTTGGCCAGTTGCCAATCTACTTCATCAAGAATAAGACTGAAGACAGCTTCCAGTGATTTTATTGGGGACCGGGTAAGTAAAAATGTCCCAGGTTTGTAAGCTAGGTTCACACGTTCTATCAACCTAGCTATTCTATGACTGAAGGCAGGACTAGAACTCACTGTCTCCGTTTCTAGTCTGATGCTTTAACTACGAGAACAAACTGCCGCTCTGTGTTGTATAGTGTGGATACCAAATTATTTTGCCTTGCTAACCAACTGAACCCCACTGTGTCCTTTCTTTTATATTTTTCATTCGCAGGTATGTGAATCGTCTTCTCATCCATGATGTGGCCACTGATCAGAAGTGGTATTTTCTTTGTAACTCTTGGCTGGCCATTGACGTTGGAGATTGCGTCCTAGATAAAGTCTTCCCTGTGGCCACTGAACAAGACATGAAGCAGTTCAGGTGTGTATTTTTGTTTGCTTTGGAAAGCGGTGTGTCTAACATACAGTATATTATTTTCTTCCCAACAAAAGCTCAAAAAAATAAAAAGTTTGGCCAAGTTTCCAGAATTCTGGAAAATAGCACTAGAGCAGGCAACTTTAAGAATTGTGGACTTCAATTCCCAGAATTCCTCAGCCAGAAGTCCACAATTCTTAAAGTTGCCAAGGTTGGAGACCCCTGCTCTAGAGGTAATTAATTGGTGAGCATTCTGGGAGTTGAAGTCCACAATTCTTAAAGTTGCCAAGGTTGGAGACCCCCTGCTCTAGAAGTAGTTAATTGGTGAGCAAAAAGCAAGAGTCTTTGCTTTGGTTCCTCATAGTTTCATCCGGTCTCTTTCTCTTCTCTTCAGCAATCTCTTTTTCATGAAGACCTCTAGGGGCTTCCGGGACAGCCATATCTGGTACTCCATTTTCAACCCTTGTCCACGCAGCTCTTTTACCCGAGCCCAGAGAGCGTCCTGTTGCTTCTCGCTTCTTCTGTGCACCATGTTGACCAGCATCATGTTTTGGGGGGTGCCCAAGGATCCAGCAGACCAAAAAATGGATTTAGGTAATAGCATCATGGCTTTATTGCTTTAGAGTACAGTAGGGAGGACAACTAAGAGGAGTTAAGAGGACTATCTGAATATGAAATCCTGCCATTCTAGATCTGATGCTGCTTCTTGCTTTGAAGTTGGTGGTACTTGGAAAATGCTTTCTTGATTTCCCCCTTTACCAAAAAACATACTGACCTACAGTATGTTGAATGACTGTTATGAAGATGTTGGAGGAAAACTTAAAAAATGTTAAATCTTTATGAAACCTGCTGCATGAATGCTCAGCTGAGACAGATATTAGGGTAAGAGCTATGGAGTCTGCCACTGTAGGTGAATTATGTTTCGAGTACTGAATCCTGTTTGTGGTTTGTATTTGGAGATGATCAAGAAGAGTTATGGAGTCTGGCCTATGGGAAGAAAAAGAAAAAGAGGAATAGAAGAGAACAGGGAATGATAGTTAGGGAAGATGGTAATAAGGGTGTTCCCAATGATGATTGAAAAGAAAGCAAAGAGAGGACTAGGCAGGATCATTCTTCCCAAATCTTGTACCTTTCAAATAGATTGGAACTACAAATCCCAAATTACCAGGCATTACAGTCAAAGGTCAAGGTAGCTAGAGTCCCAGCCTAGCTAAGAAACTTTTATTAGCCTCAAACATTTGTCAGTAGAATCCTTGTTTAAAGACTCAAAGCCAGATACTTCTGTTGGAATAATACTCTAGTTTTCTTCCAGCCATCTACTTGTGTTGATTATAACTCATATAACTCCTATGCAGCATAGCCAAATGCTTCATTAATGAACTAGACATAATCTGATGCACTTGAATGGGATTACAACAGTGTTTTATTGGCTTTATTAAAGCCTTAGTGTTGTGGCCCACCGCGGTCAGTGAAGCTGGCAGCAGATTCGGACAGTGAGGAGGTTGGGGAGAAACATGGGCCAGGAGTCGTGGAGTCTGGGGAAGGCTCTGATGAGGGCTCTGTGTCGGAGGCAGAGAGGGGGCCAGAGCCTTATGCCAGTTATCAGATGCCTTCAGAGTCAGATATCAGTGAGGCAGACAAATAGCTGGAGCCTGTTCCCAGTGTGAGCTTGTGCAGAGTTGCCAGACGAAGGGAACAGCTAAAGAACAGGGGTTGACTTGGGAGTAAGGCCACAGAGGGATGATGAATGGCCTCTCCTAGAGGAAATAAAGAGGAACAAAAGGGGAGTGGAGCTTGCAGGAGACAATTAGTTCGCTTAATTGATTCATGACTCTCCCAGACTCCTTGCTATTTTGCAGATATTGGCCTGTCAGCTCTCCAAGCCAGATAAGGTCTGTGACCGTAAATCCTCCCTTGAAAGACTTTGTTAGATGTGAATGAGCAGAATTCACAATAAATTAATAAAAGGTGTTTTTGTCGGGACCAGGAGTTTGCTTCATGGGAAGCCTAGGTCAGAACACTTAG